ATATGAACATGGCTATGACAAGTAGGGACTTTCAACTCCAGAACCTTAAAATTCACCCCTAACCAGAGCAAAGAAGACTGCTCAGAGATACAGTGAAAATTCTGTGAGCTGATCATCCATCTCTCCATAGAAGAAGTCACTCATATCTTGAGAAAAGTATATTTACCATACATAATTCTTTCCTGTACAGTCATCTGTGACACTAATTTAGTGTATACTATAGATTACTTTGGGGTAAGCCAAAGACATTTCACACTAGTACTCCTTACTCAGTAATGTAAGTCACAGATACTATAATGTTGAGGATCTCAGCTCCAAAAGCATACTGAAATCACCCTGGAGCCAATAAATTACAAATTAAGATCTGCCCCCATGTGAGATGTAACCTTTCAATCTTCATCAAAGGTTCCCTCAATAAAAGTATCTAGGACTGTTACCACTATTATATAAATCAAGCTTTGCCTCGGAAAGAAGATCCCTTTCAATATGGTCTACTATTATCACTTACACAAAGTTTAAGGGTATAAATAATTTTGATAGTGTGCCATAACTCTGCTTTTCGAAAGCATGCCAAAAATATCACTCATTGAGGATTGAAAATTGCATCATCTCATACAATAATGATTTTCTCTTCTTTCTGTGACTAGAACACACGAAGATAGAAATACAAACATCAATATATGAAGAGGCAATATGAACTTGAAAATCCTTTGAATGATTTTTGGCACCAATAAAGTTTGCTACATCAAAAATGCCTGATGAGGAGGGGTTTAAAATAAGTAAAATGCATCCAAGGTTACAACTTGCCCAGCGATAAGTCCTGGGTGAATAGCCCATTATAGTAGAGAGAGCATACACCTGCACTTGGACTTGGGGAAAGGAGCATGATTTCTCCCGGGGCCTGCCCAGTGCAGGGCCACCACTTACCAGACTCTGGGATCTTCTATCAAGCCCTCTGGTAAAGAATGGCATCATGAAATTGGATTTTCTGACTATACTTCCAAAACCCCTGAGACAGTAGCTCTTCTCTGTGGCAACCTTGGCAAGAGAACTATTAAGAGCACCAGGGATGTTAGGATAAAAGAGAGCAAATAGGCCATACGGAAAGGGATTTCTGACACAGAACCAACTTTTAGCTGAAGTGACTTCTAAATCTCTCCCATCAATTGTTTATGGCTGCTTAACTCACCAACAACTTTTTTCCAGCTTAAAATGATTCACTTCAAACATAGTAAACATGTTCCTTGTCACTAGCAAACAGGTACCCACACAGATATGCATGCGCGCCCACACGCACACACACACACACATACACACACACACACACTTCACATTTTCTATGCTAGTACTTTGAAGAAAATGTGTTAAAGAACAATACAATTAATGAAATTAAAAAATCAATTATATTGAAGACAGAAAAAGCAAACTACAGGTAGAATGCAATATATTTACAATTATGTGAAATTTACACTGGAATAACAGGTGAGAAATAGTAAAATCATTAGATTGCAGTGCTATGATCACTGATAACATGGTTTCCCAGCTCTAGCAAATTCAGATTTCCCATAGTTTTTATGGACATGGAGAGATTGGCTAAACACCCATGGACCCTCACTCAGAAACACTGATGTAGTCCAGTTTCTTTTTTTAAGTGTATCTTTTAAATGCTCTACTATACCCATAACTCAGATGAAAAAGAAACACATTTTTAAAGTAGGTTGTCAGTACAGACATAGGCACAAAGTCCTTCACGCCCTACCAAGGTCACGAGTTGCCCCCCATGTGCGGCTTTCCGGCACAGCCATAACACCAGACACACAAAAACCAATCTCATAATTATCTGGCTCTTTGCAGAAATCTAAAATCGTGGCCACGTGACATTATATGATTCTCATAACAAGCTATAGAAAACAAAATATTTCACAATGCCTTTTCAGCAATTCTGATTGTTTAGGGGGAAATTCTAAACAATAATGGTGCATCTTTTGTCAATTTGCTTGAGCGGGCCCAGTAATGTCTCCATTGGAGATTTTGTTGTTACTGTGTTTGGCATATCGAATACATCACGGATGGCTTGCCAGGCTCTGCCGTGTGGGCGAGATACACTTGGTAGCTTGCCAGGCTCTCCGAGAGGGGCGGAGGAATCGAACTCGGGTCGGCCATGTTGGCTGCGTGCAAGGCAAACGCCCTACGGCTGTGCTATCACTCTAGCCCAATGTAGAGAAGAATTAAGTAGAAATCATCTGCCTCATAGGCATTTGGAGGGGTGGGAGGGGGGTATACTGGGGTTCTTGGTGGTGAAGAATGAGTACTGGTGAAGGGAAAGTTGTTTGATCATTGTATGACCAAGACTTAAACCTGAAAGCTTAGTAACTTTTCCCACAGTGATTCAATAAATACATATAAAAGAAAAAAAAATGAAAAAAAATTAAGGTGGAGTTCATGCCCAATTCAATTGGCTAATCAATGGCTGAATAAATAGTAGTACTCCTACAAAAAAAAAAAAGAACATATGAGCAGCTCTCAGGAGAAATATGAAAATTAGTAAGACTGCTTCCAATGAATATGCGCTGACCATCTTCATAGCTCAGTACACTGACTCAGATGAATTCCTTGATTCCAGTGAATTTCTTAATTAGGGCTGGAGTGATAGCACAGCGGTAGGGCGCTTGCCTTGCACGCATCCAACATGGCCGACTTGAGTTCGATTCCTCCACCCATCTCGGAGAGCCCGACAAGCTACCAAGAGCATCTCGCCCACACGGCAGAGCCTGGCAAGCTACCCGTGACATACTCGATATGCCAAACACAGTAACAAGTCGATATGCCAAACACAATAACAAGTCACATGATGGAGACGTTACTGGGCCCGCTTGAGCAAATCGATGAACAACGGGAGGACCATGACAGTTCTTAATTAGGTATCTCCATTATCTCAAAACTCTCAATGCCTCATTTCAGAAAACATTTTGTTCTTTTCCATCCAGACCAGGATCTAATTTTAAAAAATTATTGCTACCCCATTCCCGGCAATGTGACACCTGATATCCCTGTGCTTTATGAAACATTAGGCATTTTCCCCATACAAGGCAAGTTGATGCCAAATTTTTGAAATAGCTCATCGGCTTGTGTGATTGAAATTTTAAATTGTGTTCGTGAGTGATAAAAACCTTCATGAGTGGGAAATCAGAGTCTCTACCCTGACAAGATGACTTGAAATCTCAGAATCACAAGCAAATTTTTCCAGATGTTGATTACGCTGCTGCCCCAAAAACTCAGCAGAGAATCAGACAGTCTGCATTATCATGATAAAAGAAAGCAGTTATAGTTGGCAGCAGGTGGGTGTATGCATGACTTAATGCTGAGATGCTTTTGTCAGGTATTTAAGTTTCCAAAAGGCTTTTTTTTTTCATTGTGATAAATTCTTGCTTGCACATTCGGCAACTGAATCTTTTAACAAAAATGTCTCTCAACCCAACAAAAAGCCTGTGTGAGGCAGAGACTGTTTGGTTTCCTCTTTTCATATGTTCTGCCTCTTAGTTTCCTTAAACTTCCCTCTGGTTTTGAAGATTTCCTCCAAACTACCCTACAGCATCACTGACACCAGCCTACACGCAGCACATGGTTAGAATATTAGCTGCAAAAGGTTAGCAACTAGGGCAAGTCCCGGTGAAGTTGGTGGAGCCGCATAGGTGGCTTATGTGAAGTGGGGAGGAGAGACATGGTCACTTTCTCCCAATCTTGTCACTCAGGGGATCTAGCACTGTGATGAGTCCCTCATGGCACAGACCTCAAGTTCTGCCAGTCCCACTAGGTGGCCGTCAAGCCACACCTGACGTCCACTTGGTCTTCTCAGCACAGGAGTTAATCCCCACCACCTGATCTCTCAGGGAACCTCAGACCCTCCCTCAGGCTGGAGTGAGGAATTGCTCTTCACAGGAAAGGAGAGTTAATTCCAGGCCTTACCCAGGCCTTACAGGAGGAGACAAGTGGTGAAGAAAAAATAGATTTTATTTGGAGGCTTTTAGGAAGGAAAAGAAGGGAGAGAAAGCATGTGTGTGTGTGTGTGTGTGTGTGTGTGTGTGTGTGTGTGAGAGAGAGAGAGAGAGAGAAACACATTCAAGAGAGCAAGTGGAGATAGTGGAGATACTCCAAAGACAGAGAGAGTCCCAGTACACATCTCAACAGGGGAGATACCCTTTTGTCACTCCAAAAGGGCATAATCAAAAAGTGACAGACTTGGTTGTTTGGGGGTTGTCCGGGTTTTGTGATTGGCCTCCTTTTTGTCCTATCTTTATTTATGTTACTGCAGCAACATTACAATGAACTACCTGCACAGGCTCCACAGTCCACCCTCCAGGCCTATCCTGCATTTATCAAGCCTTCTTGCTAGTCTAAAACCTGGTTTCTTAGTTTCCGCAGTGCTAATCCCAGCAGTTTACATGGCTATCGTGAGGACTGAGTGGCCTAAGACAGAAGTAGTCATCATAGCCGCTGCCAGGATTTCCATTGTTGGGTCTGGGGCCTTACATGCTTCACTGCACATTTGCACAATGTCTCATTTGAAACAGTAACCTATGGAGGGAGGGCAGTCACAAGGAAAGGACAAGGGCACAGGGGGCAATAAGCTCCCCTAAAAACTAGTTCCTGTGGTTCTGACTAACCATGTTTGTCCCATGCTTCCCAGTGCTTGATGAAGTCACTCAAAATCCCTGTCCACTTCGTAGAAAGATCCTGTGAAAGCCCAACTGGCTCAAGTGCTCCTTTCCCAGAACCAAGTGGAGAAACGGCACGAGGAGAAGGTGTATTCAACAGACCCATGCAAGCCCCTGCATCTTGGGTTAACTTGTGACTATTCAGACTATAAGCCAAATGTCCCTCTGAAAATGTCTATACTCCAAAGAGTCTCACAGGATCCAACCTCCCCATAGGACACAGAGCACAGGGGGGACAGCCTGGGGAAGATTTCGCAGAGATCAGCGTCACACAGTGGGGCTTACCTTGCTCTTTTCCATCCTGGGCTTTCTGCACCGTGTCCCCAGGGCTGTCCCATTCAGCGGCCGCTATCCTCCGGGTTCTCATCTCTATTAGCAAAGAGAAGAAGCAGAGCCTGTCAGAAACTGTGAGGGCTGATAGAGGAGTAAGTTCCTCTGATTCCTTCAACTGGAGCTTTGGCTGCGCTCCATGCCTCGCTCTGCTTGCTGTCTCCTGTCGTCCCCTGCTCCTTAAATGGTGGTGTCCTCCGCGTGGCCCCAGGTCCCTCTGCACTGCTAGGGATGGCCCCTACTTGAAAAGTTGGTGTTCCAAAGAACGCTGTTACAGTCCTTTACTCTCCAGATGGAGGCATCTGTCACTCAGGGGGCTGCTGCTGCTTCTCTCCTGCCGGCCCAGGAGGGGACCAGCTCTCCGGGTGCTGAGCCAGGCAGGCATCATGGAAAAAGAGAGCAACTGAGAGGAGCTCCCTCCAGCGCCCTAAATGGCCCCAGCTAACATATATGTCTGCACTCTGAGGACACTAAAAGTGAGAACTAGGCCGACTCTGCAGTACATGCCATTTACCACAACTCTGAGTATTCATAACTCCTGATTTTCCTAGTGCAAAAATACACAGTGGTTCAATAATACGCCTGAGATCACAGAGCTCTGAAGTGGCAGAATCATGATTTGTGCACATGTCTTCAGTAAGTCCAGTTCACTTTCTTCCTCCCACCAGTGACCCCCTCTGGGAAGGTAACCTGAAAACGCGTTATTGTATAGTGAAAAATACACCTACAGAAATTTTTCTTAAGATGGTGGAATTACACCGATGAAGAGAACTGAGAGTATTTTCCTTCCATTTTATGCTTCCTGAACCTGAAGAAATCAATGTCATTTCCATTGGACTGAGTAGAGAGTTTGGCGGTCAGGAGAACATGACTTACAACAGTCAGGACCAAAAGACGAACTGCAATCCAGTCAGGCATAGCCTCAGAGGCTAGTTTTCAAGGTCCCTAGCATTGAACTGTCTGGCCCAGTTGACTATTCTCAGCAATTGCTCTGGGGATACATTTAATATATCTTAACTCAAAACTCAAAGTGAAAGCAGTGGAGGAAAGATGCCCTGGAATGCTATGACCTTGGACCTGCAAAGCCTCCCCACCCACAAATCAGAAAACAACACGGAGGTGAATGTGGGGATTTCAGGCCAACTCAATGAACAGCTATTTCCAAATCCCCTAATGAACATATGATTAATTCGCTGAATCCCTGTCAGTAATAACATTTTGTGAATTTACAAAGGTTTGGATTTCACAGAAATACACGCTTTTGGAATGACAATTGTTTCTGTATTTTCAGTTTCAAATATCCTCCTTGTCACAAATATCAACAGTTTTATAAAACTAAAATGGAGATCTGATGGTGGAGTTGAGTGGTACAGCACACGCTTTGTACAAGTGAGGCCCTGATTTCAATCCTAGCACATTAACAAGTGTCCGTCCCAGCACCCCAATAAAAACAATCCTTTAAGCCCCACCCTCCTGACATTGCAGCAACAACAAATAAAAGTTAATAAATAAAATTCAGCCAAAAAAGGAAAAAGTAGTAAGAAATCATAGCCATAATAGTAAAAAGTAGTAAAAAAAAATAATTGCAATAGAATGATTTTGCCATCCAATACATTTTCAGACACCCATCACTCTTTTTTCTCTTCTTTGTCAATGGATTTTTTTTTTGACAGAGAGAAGGAGTTTAATGTAATAGGCATGGAATTGTACCTAGAAATAGGGCCATATTTTCTTTTATTCTGACTTTTTTGGGTCACATCTGGAGATGCTCAGGAGTTACTCCTGGCTCTACACTCAGGAATTACTCCCAATGGTGGTTGGAAGCCCATTTGGGATGCTAATCCCAGGTGGGCTTCGGGCAAGGCAAATGCCCTGTCCAATAGATTATTATTCCAGCCCTAGGGCCACATTATCATAATCGTCAAGGACCAGTCCTGCATTCATTCATCCACACTCATTTATTTTATATAAATAAGAGACTCATTTGAATATTATTTTTATTTATCGATGTAATTTTCACATATTTAAGGGAAATTCTGTTTTTGCATATCATGTTGGGTTCTGGGGGAAAAAAATAACTTTGAAAAATGAGGTCAGAGCTCTGATGCTCTTTCACAGTCTGTCATATTCTGTCATAACAGAACTCCATGTCACTGGAACATTTACCATTTGCCAAGAAAATGTTTACAAAAAAGGGAAGGTGAAAGTCAAAGTAAAAGGTTTGGCATGGGCACTACTCACCCATTTATGAAGTGACAGAATCCTCATTTTAAATCTAACCTCTTCTAGATGTCATAATTTTGGGGACCAGGAGAGGACTGCGAAAATAATGACAAGCCAGTCCTGGTCCATCTGCACAGCAATCCCCATCCTGTGCTCTGGTCTACTTTTACCAGTTAAAGAGCAATTATTCAATGACAAAAGAAGAAAAACCCTGGAAAGAATTAAGCCAACATCACTGCACAGGTCCTAAAAAATCAAATTAATAGTCATCTTTTTGTCTCTCGTATATCATATGTACTGGCTAGAGCCATGCATTTATTAGCCTTGGCTTTGATTCCTCAAAAGTTAGTGCAGTGGAGTTCCAAAATGCAGGTGTTTAATTGTCTAAGAGGCAATGTGGCAATGGATGTGATGAAGAACAATTAAGGGGCCGCATTCTCTGTCAAATTATTTTGGGATAGTTGTGGAAATGTTGCAATGAGATGTTCACTTCTCCAGCACACATAAAATAGATAACCCATAGTTAAGCAACATTTCTGATGACTTTCTTCCTGATTTCTCTTCAACTGCATCACTCAATAATTAAAACCTATTGTATTTCTAAAGCAAAACACTTAGTAACACCTCAGCAGATACTGGAGAAAAGAGAGAGTGACTTTTGGGATAGCAGGTCTGTTACTAACTTGAAATGAGAGTAGCTTCATGCTAATTATTTTTTGCATTCAGTTTCTATATTTACCAGATGGCCTAATTATCAGAGATCAGGTTTCTTTTTACCACTGCCTGCTGAATTAACCTTCCCCATCCATCCACACCCCAACTCTTCAAACTCCATATCAAACCTCCTCGGATGTCCAAATCCCTTAATTCTAGACTATTAAAATCGCTCCCTTCTCTAACTCCACTTGCACTTTTGCCATTAATATTTTACATACATAAGTATGCTAACTATGTTTGATATGATGTGACAGACAATGTGATGGAGGTTGTAGACAAGATGATCAGTAGTTAGAATGAAATTCACTAAACACTTATTAAGAGCAAGTAATATTCTAGGCATATTTTTTGATGTTCATTCAATTATTTAATCCTTGCATTCTATGAAGAGTGACCTATCATCTGCCTGTTGGCTATCTGTAGGTCTTCTTTGTCTACCCTTTCTCATTGTGTTCAGTCATATCACATTTTTGTGTTATCTTCTCACTCTGTGTATGTTATTCAATTGTGAGCTCCTTGATGGTAGACAATGAGAACAACTTGTAGAGAAATGGTTAGCTGCTAGTGCTTTAGAGCCATGTTATCTAGGTCCAAACTTGGGTTTTATCACTTATGATTTAAGTGACTCTAAACTAATTGACTTAGTAATAAATGAAGTTTATTTGTAGTATTTGGTGGAATCCCAGCACCTCTATGTTTTCCTTAGCCCCTCTAGGAGTGACCCATGAGTGCAGAGTTATGAGAAAACCTTGAACACAGCTGATTGTGGCCCCCAAACTATATGTAGTACAAATACATGTATATATTACATATATACATATATCTGTCACTGTCACTCTCCTCCTGTTGTTTATCGATTTGCTCGAGTGGACCCAGTAACATTGCAAGACTTGTTACTGTGTTTTGCATATGGAATACATAACATACAAAATATACTTAAATATATATTGTGTATGAGATTATCAATCATCTCTGGATATTAAGAAGCAAAATAATGAAAGAGACAAACTCAAACAAAATTCCCCAGACTCTGTAGAACTGAAGTTATCTACAGAGGAGGGAGAATATTGACAGTGTGAAGAGGGTATAGCAGTTGAAGTGGCTGCAGAATTAGTATTTGGGTGGTGGCTGTGGTGTGGATACCTTCATTCTGATGAGGTAAAAAGTTGTACTTCTAAGCATTTACTGTCTTGTAAACCAACATTACCACAAAAGTTTAAAACAAAAGTAAAAAATAAAAGTAAAACAAAAGCCTCAAAAATGTGGGTGTATACCAAAACCCAACCAAGGAGCAGGAAAGCAAGAGCACAGCAACAATTCTCAGGTAAACGCTGAATGTTAGGACTTGGTTAAAGACCTCAGAAGAGCCTAGAGCTGAGTTCAGTCACACCCACCCTTTAGGCGGTCCTCATTCAAGTCTGGAAGATGGAGCTGGAAATCCAAACTTCCTTTCCTGGTGGATTTCCCCAGACCCACCCAAACTCTCCCTGGCATAGACTGTGAGCTGTTCTTCCAGGCATTAGAGCATCTTTGATGACTTTGGCTGAAAACCTCTCCCTCACACCACGTCAGACATAGCTCGCTACTTGCATATACAAAGCACAATAAGCTGGCCCGAATACGAGGCATGTCAAAGCCAGGTCCTGTGGGCAGATAGAGAAAGCAGGGGCTAGTCACTCAACCAGTGGACCATCCCTGCTTTCATCAGTTATATGTACTAAGAATGGTTTTCACATATTTAAATGATTGGGGATTACTTTAAAAATATAATATTTTGTCACACATGTAAGTTACACGAAATTCAAATTCCAGTGTCCCTGAAATGTAATGTAGTGATGCTCATGCATGGCCATATTGTCTGCAGCTGCTATTCTGCTAACCTCACCCCCCCCAAAAAAGTTTATAAGATGCTTGTGATTTGTTCTTTTGCCAAAAAAGTTTGCTAACCCTTATCACATTGCATACTAAAGATAAAAGCACTAAATAAATGTTTGATTAATGATTACTAGACCCTAGATTCACCCCCAGCCCTTTTGAATCTATCCAGGTATTCCTAGTTGGAGGATTCCACTCATCCTAGTAACTAGCTTTGTTTTTCA